AAATTGGAAGGGGGGATAATCTTGTACTTTGTGCCAATTCTTTTGAGATACTATTTGAAAATTACAATCAATGTTGTTTGATTCATTATCATCTAATAGATCATTAGACAACTAACCAATTTATATTAAATATAGTTGGTGACAAATAAATTATCTGCTGTTGATATTGGTAAATAAACTATATAGCTAATGGGTTATGACTTAGAAACTGATGTACAGTATATAACGTTTGCTCACTACTTAAAGGGACATCACGTGAAAAGGCGTTTTTTTTTAATGAATGTATGTATTGTATGCACTTCCCCTTATGTTACCTCGCTATCCCCATATTCATAGTCCGTTCCAAATGTCCAGTTTGACCACTTGAATTGTTCGGGAAAGCCCGGCTAAAAATAGCGCCGATAACGTCACCTGATTAGGCAGCAAACACAAGTGGTGCGAGCGAGATGAAACGGTTTACAAAGGGGCCCTCAGAGATCTAGAGGGGCCGTCAGGCAACTGCAACTTCTTACCGCACTATGAAACCAAGTTATATGATTTCTAATTCCGTATTCAAACTTATTGAACAGTAATTATTCATCATCAGAAGTTAATTGCACACTTGCCAATATTAAGAATTTAAATTTATTTAGCTTTTAACATAAATTTGTTGCCAATAAAATTAAACAAAGGATGGGGCACAAGTTTTTACAATTTATCACAGCCTTCTCCCGTGACCGGTACAGGTGGTACGGGGCTAAACACTCCCTCAACAATGGGACAAACCTTTCTGTAAAAAGGAATATTCACGAGACGAATATCCCTTTTCAAATGTTTACATAAAGTGCATATATGCAATGACAAACTACACGCGAATATAAAAAGGAAACGTTTGTGAATTTATTTATTACATTAAACAACTCAATGTCTTTGGCCATTTTTTTTCTAGACCATGAATATAAATCTATGTATACTCTCTTTCCCACTTTCACTGTCTCCAAACGCTAACATTTAGGAAGTCATATTAACCATCACACACAATAAACTGTATGGCAAAACCACTACGTGTACATGTAGAATATGTGTCAATAAGGAACGTGTTGAGATACTTGATAATTATATTTTTTCAATACTTTACAGAGATTAAAGCATACTTTTAAATGGACCTTTTTATGCTGAGACAACTTTTCTTTAATCAGTTCCTTTGGTCCGAAACAGAAGCCGTAGTTATCGGCAGCACGCGCCATTTTTATAACGTAATCAAATATTTTTTCCCCTGTTTTCAATACGTATTCCGATTCTATCTGAAGTCGAAAATTTATTCTTTATAGAGAAAAGGTTGTTACATGATCATACATTCTAAGTCAACATCATATGAAAACATGAACTGTTGAAAAATTACGATTTAAAAAAAAAGTGTTATGCGATCCTATTTACTAGAAGTAGGTTCTCCTTCCTCAGTTATTCATCCTGGTCCGTCATTTTGACATTTTTAATCTAGCTGCGATCACGTAGCTTTCTGACGAAGAGCGATTTTTTTATATATATTGCGTCGTCGCGCCAGGACAGGCCGGGTATTATATTAGTACTAATTTAAAACTTGCATGTCAAAACAAAAAACAATCGTTTAATTCAGCACTATAATTGAATAATACCATTTTACTGATCCCGGTAATATTATAAATCATGTAAATCTAATAGCGCACGTATCTCATTTGACCCCGAGCACCGACAGAGGATCGGAGAACAGAATACGCCGTGCCCATCACAGCAGTTATCCCTTGGGGGGTCTCATGGCAAAATCAAACTAACCAGTCACTTATCCCTTTCGTTTGCATAAACCACTGTATAATTATAAAAAACACAAAGTAAACTCTCTTTGATACATGCCCATTAACATATTAAACTAAGTTCATCTGTGTTCAAACTCACACAATGATACTAGCGAGGTTAATAGTTTTAGATATTTATTCATAACTGTAACGTAGGTTCGTCTGAAGCACCTATAGCATAGGTTCACTTAGTTAATGTATATTGCTTGTGTGAAGTATGACGCTTGGCATTGTGGGAACATTAAAGATGGCTGACCAAGTAACATGTGTTTGAATTACGTGAGACAACTTCTGAGCGTAACATGTGTTTGTATTACGTGAGAGACAAACGACAACGTAACATGGTGTCAGATAGGTAAACTTACATAAACCGTAAGTACAAAGAACACGAACATGGCTGATCCGCCAGATAATATACCGCAGGTCAATGTGACGACAACCGCACATGCCATGCCGTTCCCGCCAAAATTGGACTTGAAAGGAAATTTGTCAACAAATTGGCGACGATTCAAAAGAGTATGGACAAACTATGAAATAGCCTCGGGGCTCAATACGAAAACAGAACAAGTGCGTGTTGCAACATTTTTAACGTGCATAGGGTCGGACGCCATCGAAATATTCGAAGGTTTGGAACTATCGGAAGAGAACAGCAAAGTCATCAAAGAGGTGATAGACGCTTTTGACAAGTTTTGTGTGGGCAAAACCAACGAAACTTACGAACGATATTGTTTCAACAAAAGAGATCAAATGCCCAATGAGAGTATCGATACATATCTCTCTGCCTTACGAAATTTGGCAAGAACATGTAATTATGAAACATTGGAGGAAAGTTTGGTCCGTGATCGAATCGTAATGGGGGTTAGTGAAAACGGCACACGAAAAAAACTGCTCCAGGACTCGAAACTAACTCTTGAAAAGTGTATTGATGTGTGCAGAGCTAATGAGAAAACGTCTCAGCATTTGAAAAGCATGATGAATGAAGAGGTTCAGTTCGTAAAACGACAGTCAAAACACTCTACATCTGAGAAAAGAGAGGGTCCATCATGTTCCAGCTGCGGTTATTCACATCCACCAAAGAAATGCCCAGCATGGGGAAAAGAATGTCTTAAGTGTGGTGGACTAAACCACTTTCAAGCCGTGTGTCGTTCACAACAACAGAAGAAAAGTCGTGAAAAGAAAACAACCCCTACACACTCAGACCGACGAAAAAGGAGTTCAAAAGGAGCAAACATATCGTTCATGAAATTGACACAGATTCCGAGGAGGAAGATGAATATATGTTTTCTGTCGAAGATGTACATGCCATTGGAACAAAACGCATCAACGCGATCATGGGCGTAGGGAATAAAAACATTGAATTCCAACTGGACAGTGGTTCATCAGTTAACATACTGCCAGTGAAGGTTTACATCAAGATACGGAATGACAGACGTCTTGATAAACTTAAGAAAACCAACAAACGACTAATAATGTTCAATGGATCGGAAACAAAACCTGCAGGAACTACACGATGTACTGTAAAGAATCCAGTCAATGGCGAGTCGTACGACCTCGAGTTCGTGGTAGTGAAGGGTGAGGTACACCCTATCCTGGGATCATATGCAATTCAACAAATGAAAATGATAACAGTGCAGAAAGAGAATATCCAAGTGCGAAGTGACAACATAGAAACTGTTAACCTCGTTACTGACAGCATAAGTGAAATCGCGAAAACCGGAGTGTTTGCGGGTGAAGGCAAGCTGACAGGACAACTTCATCTGGAGATAGATGAGGAAGTAAAACCGGTGAAAATCCCAGTGAGGAAAATCCCTTTGGCAGTGAAACAACAGGTGAAAGTAGAGTTGGACAGACTTTCTGAAAAAGGTATTATTGAACCTATTAAGGTTCCTACCGACTGGATTTCATCCTTGGTTGTTGTGTCAAAGCCGTCGGGAAAAATAAGACTGTGTTTAGACCCGAAACCCCTCAACAAAGCTTTACGGAGAAACCACTATGCTATGCCTACTCTGGACGACATATTACCAGAGCTGAGTAAGGCACGAGTATTCAGTGTTGCTGACGCCAAGAATGGGTTCTGGCATATCAAACTTGATCATGAAAGTAGTCTCCTCACCACGTTCGCAACTCCATGGGGTAGATATAAATGGAACAGAATGCCATTTGGTATTTCATCTGCCCCTGAAGAATTTCAACGTAGGATGGACGAGGCACTAGAAGGACTACTTGGAGTCAAAGCAATCCATGATGATGTTCTCATATATGGGTGTGGTGACACCGACGAGCTAGCGGGACAGGACCATGACAGAAACTTGGCAGGGTTGATTCAGCGCTGTGTAGAACAGAACATCAAACTAAATCAAAGCAAGTTGAAGCTCAGACTTGACCGAGTGACCTACATGGGGCATGTTATTACCAAGAACGGTCTCGAAATCGACCCAGAGAAAACAAGGGCGATAAGTGACATGCCTACACCGAACAGCAAAGCTGATGTAAAACGGTTACTTGGAATGGTGAATTATGTTCAGAAATTCGCACCAAAGTTATCAGAAATCACAACGCCACTGAGACAGTTAGTCAAAGAAGATGTCGAGTTTGTTTGGGACATGCAACATACCAACGCATTAGAACAGGTGAAAGCCGTGCTAACACAAGCTCCAGTTCTAAAGTACTTTGACCCATCTAAACAAACTGTGCTACAATGTGATGCCTCACAGACCGGGCTAGGGGCCTGTCTGATGCAGGAAGGACATCCCATATCGTACGCCTCAAGGTCCCTTACATCGACCGAAGAAAACTATGCACAGATAGAAAAGGAACTATTAGCTGTGGTTTTTGGAACGGAAAAGTTTGAGACCTACACATATGGAAGGCCGGTACTGGTCGAATCGGACCACAAACCACTGGAGGTCATACACAAAAAGAATCTTCTGAGTGCTCCGAAACGTTTACAGCGCATGCTGTTAAGGCTCCAGAAATTTGATATCGAAATCCTCTACAAACCCGGGCCAACCATGTATATGTAGACGGAGTCTAAGGATCGCTCAGTAGCAGAGAAGGAGGTTGAGTATGTAAACATTGTGTTACCTATCACCGATAAACGGTACAAAACCCTTCGCGAAGCAACAGAACATGACGACATGTTGCGACATCTCAGGTCTGTAATCCAGCAGGGTTGGCCTGAGACGCGAGATGAACTGCCAGAGTACTTACTTCACTTTCCGCGAGGAATTAACTCTACAAAATGGAATGATATACAAAGGTGATCGTGTGGTGGTACCAGAGACACAGAGACATGAATTGATCGAAAGTTCTCACTCTCATATCGGTATCCAGGGTTGTATCCGTAGGATCAGAGAGTGTCTTTACTGGCCAAGAATGTACAGCGACATCGAAAAGTTTGTCAGCGAGTGTGACACGTGTAACACTCACTCCAGTGATCAGAGGAAAGAGCCTTTGATTCACCATGAAGTCTGCCAACGGCCATGGCAGAAAGTAGGAATAGATATATTCACCCTCAACCAGAAGGATTTCCTTCTAACAGTTGATTATTTTTCCAGTTTCTTCGAGGTTGATCGATTACACGACAAAACTGCAAAAGAAATTGTAGGCAAAGTTCGTTCTCACTTTGCACGTCATGGGATTCCCGACACCGTCGTGACCGATAACGGACCACCGTTTGGTTCCAACGACTTCGCAGCATTTGCTCAGTGTTACGAGTTTGAGCATATCACAAGTTCTCCGTTGTACCCTCAGTCAAATGGAAAGGTGGAGAATGCTGTCAAAGTCGCGAAAAGTCTTATGATCAAATCAATCACGGATGAGAAGGACCCGTATTTGGCACTCTTAAACTGGAGAAACACACCATCGGAAGGACTAGGGAGTTCACCAGCCGACGCCTTTACAGCCGGAGGACTAAGACGTTACTTCCAATGCCAGCACACCTGTTGGAACCTCAAGTTCAGCAGAATGTAACTAAACCGCTGACTGAGCGTAAGGCGAAACAAGCATATTACTACAACACTGGTAGTAAAGAGCTCGAAAGTCTTAAAACAGGTGACACAGTGAGAGTCCGACCGCAAGGGCGTACAAAACAGCGGCAAAAGGCTGTTGTACGAGATCAAGTGGACATCAGATCTTACAAAATAAGAACTGAGGATGGACGAGAGTACAGGAGAAACAGAAGGCAGTTACGAAAGACCAACGAGTTAATGCCCGTCAGTTCTAGGCATATTCCCTTATTGGCCGACATGGATCACCCTTCGGAACCTCCGCGAGTGACTGAACCATCAACACCACGCGTCTCGCGCATTCCGGTCGAACCACCATCACCGCCACAAGACTCGCGCATCCCGGTACGCGACCGTCCGAGTAAGTCTGAAACTCCGACAGGAATTCCAAGTGACCCTGCATCTGGGATGACTCCGGATCCGATGACGCCCCAAAAGACGCGATCAGGACGCGTCGTAAAGCTACCTGAACGCTTTACTTTGTAACTTGTGACACTCCAGTGCCAGTTATAGTGTTAGTTTGTAGAGAAAAATAATAATTAGTGTGTTCATTTTAAATAATGGTCTAGTCATGATCAGTTGTGTATTGATTTTGAGAACTTTAGCAAGTCTAAGTCAAATCTTGTGAACTTTAGCAATTCTAGTCAAATCTTGTGAACTTTAGCAAGTCTAGTCAAGTGAAGAACTCTACATTCTATCTAGTCAAAGGACAGGAGTAAAGTGTATACAGTCAAATATATGAGTGGCACTTATCGCGACATAAAACAAGTTATTTGGCACTTATCGCGATTCAAAAAAAAAAAACAAGTTCTGGGACATAATTGTGACTCGCGAAGTATTGAACTGTGAAATAATAACATACAAAAGTGTAATTGTGACTCGCGAAGAATTGAACTGTGTAACAAGACATTAAAAATTTTACATAATGCACATATATATGGACTATATTTCAGAACAGTAACAATAATGACTATTTTCCTATATAGACACTCCTAAGTGTGCATCCTTGCTATAGAAATATATTTGAAGAATGTGTTTATTACATCCAGATACTGTTTAAAATAATTTCGGTAATTTTATGTATAATATTGTTTTATATTGTTCTAATTTGAAAAAAGGGATGTAACGTAGGTTCGTCTGAAGCACCTATAGCATAGGTTCACTTAGTTAATGTATATTGCTTGTGTGAAGTATGACGCTTGGCATTGTGGGAACATTAAAGATGGCTGACCAAGTAACATGTGTTTGAATTACGTGAGACAACTTCTGAGCGTAACATGTGTTTGTATTACGTGAGAGACAAACGACAACGTAACAATAACATAAACAGCGCTAGCATTTCTGTCGATTTTATTTCAGCTTAACCGGCCGCTATCCGGAAGAAAACATGCACCGTACTGACTGCTAGGGCAGTTATTTTCTGCTTTGAATACTTCCCACTGGCAATAATGATTCCGTAACGTACCCCTTGCGCTATCTTTTGACCATTTGGCAACTATTCGCTTCGTAGCTGACACGGTACAACACTTTTCTTTGGCTTACTTCACACGGCCAGTCATTTTGTTTACAAAGAAATGGTGTGCTATGCGCATGCGCTAGTAGAGGGAAATCCCTGAACAAAACGTTGGTCAGACAGGTAGAAATACCGATGATTATCTTAGATTTAATCATTTTTATGAATCTATTTCAGCCAAATCCGATCGGCATTTTCCATAAGGAGTCTCACTTGATATGTTTATGTAGTATTTGGAAAAAAGACAAAAAAAAAAGTTACCTCAGCGTGATGCCCCTTTAAACATTCTGTCATTTCCTACGTTAACTCATGTGACCTTGGCACTTGAATCTCAAATGTAAGTTCAATTTTATGTATACATTTTTCCCCCTTGAGTAAATGTTAAGGAAGGGAGATAATTTTGATCTAGTGCTATTTTGTGGTTTTACAAGTATGATTGGTTTCAGGTATGGTCAAATAAAAGGAAAAAAATTGCAACATAACTGTAAAGTATACTTAACAAATTGTCAACTAAGTATAGTGGAGATGAACAAAATCTGTATGATGAGGACTTACTTGTATGTATAACAATATGCCAAAACATGTATATTTTATTTGTGTATTTGTCTTTTTTGTATGTTTCTTCTCTCTTTCTTTTTTTCTGTTGTCAGATTTGTCATGTAGAGTTAGAGAAATATTTGGCAAAGAGTGGAAGGAGAAATCAGGAAATATAATTACTGTCTTGAACACGGGTGCATATTACAGCAATTAATTTTCCATTATTTTGTTTTTACCTGATTATAAAAATAACTTAATTTTCTTAATTGTGATTTCTTCAAGCAAGTATATTGGGGGGTCTATTAATAATTTTATAAACATTAGTGGAGGGAATTAGTATCTTATCAGCAAATTGTCAGGGTTTAGGTGACAAGGTTAAACGTAAGGATGTATTTACATATTGGAGAGATAGAAAATACAATATATATTGTCTTCAAGACACACATTTTACTGAGGAAAAGGAAGATCTAATACGGAATGAGTGGGGCTATGACTGTTATTTTAATTCTTTTAAATCAAATTCCAGGGGGGTAGTAATTTTGATAAATAACAACTTTGAAGTTAAGGTACTGAAAGAAAAGAAGGATTTGACAGGGAACTTTTTGGCACTGGAATTAGAAATTGAGGGGAGAAAACTTACTCTGATAACTATTTATGGTCCTAACTCTGATAGCCCGGCTTTCTTTGAAAACATTGAGAAAATTTTCACGACTTTAAAAATGATCATTGTATAATATGTGGCGACTTCAACTTGGTTCTTAATCCTGTTTTAGATTACGATAAAAATTACAAACAAATTAACAATCCAAAGGCAAGCGAAAAGGTTTTAGAATCAATAAAGAATTTAGATCTAGTTGATATATTTAGAGAGCAATATCCTTATACAAAAAGATGCACATGGCGAAGAAGTAGACCAATAAAACAAGCTAGGCTTGATTATTTTTTAGTATCTGGAAGTTTAATTCAAAGTGTTAGTAATACAAGTGTTGATTCAGGTTATAGATCTGACCATTCCTTCCCAAAAACTACATTAAAGTTCAGCGAATTCAAAAAAGGTAAAGGATTATGGAAATTTAATAACTCTTTGTTGCATGACGAGGAATATCTTAACCTTGTTAATAATACTATAGCAACTATAAAAGCTCAATACTGTATCCCCATCTATAATCCTGAATTCATCAACAATATTCCTGATACAGATTTACAGTTAGTATTAGATGACCAATTGTTTTTAAAAACTTTGTTAATGGAAATAAGAGGCAAATCAATCTCTTACTCGTCATATAAAAAAAAGCAAATTAACTTAAGAGAAAATGATCTAATAGATGAAATTCAGAAGCTTGAAAATCAGAATGATATAAATTTAGAAGAGTTGAATAGAAAAAAAAGGAATTAGAAAACATTAGAACACATAGGGTGAAGGGAAGTATAATTAGAGCAAAAGCTTTATGGATAGATAAAGGGGAAAAGCCATCAAATTATTTTTTCAGTTTAGAAAATAGAAATTTTGCATCAAAAAATATTCCAAAGGGAAAATGGGGAATTAATAACAAAACAAGATAATTTTTAAAAGAAGTAAAAACATTTTATGAAAAAATTATACTCAACTGTTGATAATGAAGTTGAAGAAATGATTTTAGAAGACTTCCTAGATTTTGATGTGCCAAAATTGAATAAAGTAGAAGCTGACAGTTTGGAAGGACTAATAACACTAGAGGAGGCATCTAAAACCCTTAAAAACATGAAAAATAACAAAAGCCCGGGTTCAGACGGATTTACTTCAGAATTTTTAAAATGTTTTTGGAAGCAGCTTGGCAACTTTGTAGTTAGGTCAATAAATTATGGTTATTTAACTGGTCAGTTATCTATTACTCAACGTCAAGGCATAATTACTTGTATTCCTAAGGCAAATAAATCAAAATGTTTTATGAAAAATTGGCCGCCTATCTCTCTTTTAAATATTGTGTACAAAATTGCATCTGGATCTATAGCTAGTAGACTTAAATTAGAAAAATTGATAAACTCGGATCAGAAAGGTTTCATATCAGGACGTTATTTAGGGGGAATACTAGGCTCATATATGACATCATGCAATATGCTGAAGAAAATAATATCCCGGGAATGCTATTATTAATTGATTTTGAAAAAGCGTTTGATTCGGTCTCTTGGAAATTTATAGATAAAGTGCTTAAGTACTTCAAATTTGGGAATGATTTGAGAAATTGGGTAAAAATATTACACTCTAATCCTTGTACTGCAATTAATCAGGGGGGTAACTTATCATCGTTCTTTAATATAAAACGGGGCTATCGCCAAGGCGATCCAATCGCACCTTACAATTTTATACTTTGTGCCGAGATATTGGCAATTCGGATAAGAAATAATAGAAATATTACTGGTATCAATATTGATGACTGTCAGATTCTAAATTCTCAATATGCAGACGACACTTCTTTAATACTAAATGGACAAGAAAAATCTCTGAAGGGATCTGTTGAGGAACTAAATTTGTATGCTTAAATGTATGGTCTAAAAGTAAATAAAGGTAAAACCCAAATTGTTTGGATAGGTAGCAAAAAGTATAGTACTGATGTACTTCTTCCAGATATGAATTTTCAATGGGGGGTTGACAAGTTTACACTTCTTGGTATTGAATTTAATGTGGATTTACACAGAATTCCTAAAATTGATTTTGATGAAAAAACTAGTTAAACTTAAATCTTTAATCATGGGATGGAGTAAAAGAAAGCTTACTCCTATTGGGAGAATTAACATAATTTAGTCTTTATTAGGTTCACAGATGAATCATCTTTTTATCTCCTTACCAAATCCAGATCAAAGTTTCATAAAGCAGCTAAACTCAATTATTTTCATTTTTTTATTGAATGGTAAAAATGACAAAGTTAAGCGTGAGG